CTACGCAAACGTGCCATAAAATAACACTCGGAGAACTGGAGGCAAGTCTTAAAACAACTAAGGGCAGCTCCCCCAGCCATGACAAAATAACATACACAATGGTAAAAAATGCGTCTACAGCACTTAAGTCTCGAATATGCAGACTTTTCAATCGAATTATCGAAACAGCAATCTACCCACATGAATGGAAGCACGCAATTCTTACACCTGTGCCGAAACCTGGGAAAAGTCCCAATTCGGTTGAGGGGTACCGTCCTATCTCGCTACTACCCACGTTGGCAAAAATATTCGACAAAATCTTAGCCAACAGAATATGGACCGACTTCGGTAACAAACTAGAAGCCGAACAACACGCATTTTTCCCCAAACATGGAGTACACACCCTTATTCACACTCTCGAAAATCAGTTGAAACGTTCAAGTGGAGAACACACCGTCGTTCTGTCAGAAGACCTGGCAAAGGCGTATGATAGAGTAATAGCTACTGAAGTAATTAAAGAAATGCACAAGTGCGGTATTCCGACGAATATCCTCAAACTCTCTTTATCCTTCTTATCGTTCAGAAGGATTACAGTCAGAGTTGACGGATTCCTTTCGAAGGTTAAAAAGTTAGAAAACGGAGTCCCACAGGGATCCCCGCTTTCAGTAGTACTCTACACGTTCTATGCCAATTCTCTAATAAAAAAGATAAAAGACGTCGAAGGGATTTCCTACATGGGAGTATACGCAGACAATATTTTCGCAGCAGCTTCCGGAACGCACGAAACAGTCACGCAATGTCTACAAAACCTAGATGAAACAATAAACAAATGGGCTAACTCAACCGGAGCCGCAGTCCCCATAGAAGTAGCAACGGCCCTCCATGTATGCCGTAAAAACAATTGCGGTGCTAACTCGGTACACATTCGGGAACGAACAATTCCTTTGAAAAATAATATGCGCATACTTGGTGTACATTTCTCTAAAAACATGTTATGGAACAACCACGTTAACGTGCTGAAAGACAAACTGAAAAAAGTCAACAACATGCTCAAAGTCATTTGTTCTAAAAGAAAAGGTCCGCACATAGAAACTGCCATTGCCATCTGTCGCACACTCACCGAAGGCGTACTACAACACTGTATAACGCTCTACGGCTGGACATCCAAAAGAAACATCAAAGCCCTCAACACCGAAATCTACAATTGCTACAGAACAGCCACCGGCTTACTGAAAGCAACTCCCATACCTGCTCTAAAAATAGAAGCACGAATTCGAGATTTTGAAAATTTACGGTTCAAAAGTTCATCCAAACTAGCGGCTAAGTCCATCACGGATAACAAACATCCCCTTCACAACATGGTATGGAACCTCATCGACACAACAGAACGTAGGAGGGCACCCGCCCACAAAACGAGCAGTTTAAAAAGAATAATCATGATGTTACATGACACACATATACCTATTCCAAGCAAACCGCCACTGAGCAAGGAAAACATAACTAATCTTATCACAGTAGACACATCACTTAACACAACCAAAAAGAAATCAACTTGTCAACAAGCATACATACAAGGATTGTTGGAAATCACCAACGAGACAGACCCCCAACTTCTCCTTTTCACAGACGGATCGGTAAATTTTAGCACACCCTCATACGCTGTAGTGTCGCAAACAGCAGGCAATCAATTTGCAGTTATCCATCAAGCTCTGTTACCAATGCACACAGGTATTTTTTGCGCCGAACTAACAGCGATCAAGAAAGCAATATCACTTGCTGCACAACTAAAAAAGAAAACCCTTATTTGCTCAGACAGTCTCAGCGCCCTTAATGCAATATCAGATGATCGTAATGAAGCTCACCTCTTTGTGTCAGATGCCAGTCTACAGCAACCTATTAGACTTCTATGGGTACCCGGGCACACCGGAATAGAAGGCAATGTAAGGGCGGATCAAGCGGCCAAAGAATGCTTTTCGCTACCTCTAATAACAGAAGTCCCAATCCACTCAAGTGTCATAACAAGAACGACAAAAGCGGTGCAGATGGAAGCCGAACTGAAAATCGCAGCCGACCTCAGAACCTTCCTACACAGGCATAATTTCGATATCCCTAGACATAATTACGACACACAACTCACTCGTAATCAATGCATTAAGTTAGCCAGGCTTCGGACAGGCACTACACTCTTTAACACATCACACCTTTTCACAAAAACACACCCACGAACATGTTCTTTTTGTGCAACATCCCTCACAATAGAGCATGTATTAACAACCTGCCCTCACTCGTTATTAAAAAAAAGCATCAAGGAAATACTGAATTGCAGGAACAGCAACATTAAAGAAATAGAGGAAGCACTCCGTATACACCACCTCAATGAAGAAACTTAATACAATACACATATGTATTCTAAGGCACTCAATGACCTAGACGTCCGGTGCCTATATCATATTTTGCAAATTCATTTGCAATCTATGCTAAATAAATAAATAAATAAATAAATAAAACTTTTAATTGTATTACGAACGGGTACTCGGAATGACTTCACAATCTCGGATTTGCTGCAGTTCATCGCCACAATATCTGTTTTGCTTGCATTTTTGTGGCGCGTTACAACACTTTTTTAGTTTTTATGCAATTATAAATATTTTTAGTATTTACGTATGTAAAAAATTGTTGTTTTGTAAGTATGTACATATTTTGTAAGCAGCATTATTTGCAGGAGTACCTACTTGGCAAATGATGTTTCGACTTTTTATTGCGCTACTGAAACAGTTTGGCTGCTCACGAATTTTTATTCATTAATTTGTAATTCTAATTTCATGTAAATTTCTTTGCGTTTACTGTTTAAAGTGAATGTGCTTTTAGTTTTTGATTTGGTAATTGTTTTACTGAGCAATGTAATTTCTTTTGATTGATTGTTGTTGCCTATCCTATAGTTTATTTTATTGTTGAAAACTGAATAAAAATATAACCGGATAACCAGAAAGTTGTGAACACCCACATTGTTGAATTGACTCTGGATTATTTGTTCCTTTATTTATTAAAATAACGGGTGATTTTTTTGAGGTTAGGATTTTCATGCATTAGTATTTGACAGATCACGTGGGATTTCAGACATGGTGTCAAAGAGAAAGATGCTCAGTATGCTTTGACATTTCATCATGAATAGACTTACTAACGAGCAACGCTTGCAAATCATTGAATTTTATTACCTAGAAAAGTTGGCAGAAAATCCGCTTTTTTATCGACAAATTTTGTTCAGCGATGAGGCTCATTTCTGGTTGAATGGCTTCGTAAATAAGCAAAATTGCCGCATTTGGAGTGAAGAGCAACCAGAAGCCGTTCAAGAACTGCCCATGCATCCCGAAAAATGCACTGTTTGGTGTGGTTTGTACGCTGGTGGAATCATTGGACCGTATTTTTTCAAAGATGCTGTTGGACGCAACGTTACGGTGAATGGCGATCGCTATCGTTCGATGCTAACAAACTTTTTGTTGCCAAAAATGGAAGAACTGAACTTGGTTGACATGTGGTTTCAACAAGATGGCGCTACATGCCACACAGCTGGCGATTCTATGGCCATTTTGAGGGAAAACTTCGGAGAACAATTCATCTCAAGAAATGGACCGGTAAGTTGGCCACCAAGATCATGCGATTTGACGCCTTTAGACTATTTTTTGTGGGGCTACGTCAAGTCTAAAGTCTACAGAAATAAGCCAGCAACTATTCCAGCTTTGGAAGACAACATTTCCGAAGAAATTCGGGCTATTCCGGCCGAAATGCTCGAAAAAGTTGCCCAAAATTGGACTTTCCGAATGGACCACCTAAGACGCAGCCGCGGTCAACATTTAAATGAAATTATCTTCAAAAAGTAAATGTCATGGACCAATCTAACGTTTCAAATAAAGAACCGATGAGATTTTGCAAATTTTATGCGTTTTTTTTAAAAAAAAAGGTATCAAGCTCTTAAAAAATCACCCGTTATGTTAGTTTTTATTTATTTTCATATTTCGCTGTTTATTTCCTTCTTATGCTTCCTCCTTACTTTTGTATTATTTGGATTATCAAAATTAACTAATAAACCCTTTTCTGCGCACCCCACCCTTGCAATCACATTTCCGTTGATCCACCAAGGCACTCGGTATTTGTTTACCTTATTTTTGTTGGGGTATGTGTGCATTTTTTATTTATTCATTTTTTTTTTATATTTTTTTTAAGCCCGTCAACACTTTTGCATAACAATTAGCTCTTGCTTGTAATTTTTCGAGTTCTACTTTGTTTGTTGTTGCTACTTGCCATATACAGCTATGGCTGGTTAATTAAACAACTGCCCAAATGTGTCGTATGAAAATGTATATTTTTTATTCAGTCTGCTTGCCTTTAGTGTAAAACTTTAAAATCACATATATATGTATTATTTTCGAAGGTGCTGACCGCATATGTTTGCGTTTTAGTCAGTCAGTCATTGGTGTGGCTTGGTTGATGACGAATTTGTGAAAGTAATGAAAAAATGTCGGAAGTTGTTAAAGGCGAAGAACCTGGCAAGGAGTTGGAAAAGTTGAAGCTCAGTTCGAAATTCTTCCTCCTGCTTTATTTGTAGGTTTTACAATTTGTGAATATGTTGTGTTTTTTTTTTGTGCAATTGAATGAATAAAGAGATTAATTAAAACCATGGCTAAAAATGGACTGTTGTAGAAAGTTAAACGTATAGACTTTAAAGCGAGAGAGTTTTTTCAGAAGTCTTCCTTTGAAAGCAGTTTATCTATTTGGATGGGGAACCTACATATTTTGATACAATAAAAATAAAATAAACAAAAAAAAAACTAAATAAAATTGAAGTGTAATCTATTTCAAAGAGTTCCAAGTTGGACTAAAAACTAAACTAAAAAAAAAAAGGAAAAACAAATTTTTTCAGCAGCCACCATCGTAAATTGGATAAAATTTCTTAAATACATTTACCGAAATTTTATTTAAATTAAATAGAAAAAAATATTAATAACTTTTCTTTTCACCCACAGCTGCTGGCGCAAATGGTTTGCACCACGCGAATTACGTGCGCGCACCGTTCATTTGGGCCGTGCAACCACGGAAAAATTCCCACCGAACGAGATACGAAATCAAAAATACAATGTGATCACGTTCCTGCCGCTCGTCCTGTTCGAGCAGTTTCGTTTCTTTTTAAATCTGTATTTCTTGCTCATGGCATTGTCACAATTCATACCCGACATACGCATTGGCTACCCATACACCTACTGGGGACCACTCAGTTTCGTGCTGATGGTGACAATCGGTCGTGAAGCGGTCGACGATTTGCGACGACACCAACGTGATCATGAGGTGAATTCGCAAAAATACAAGAGGCTAACTGTAAATGAGACACCAGGTTATGAGATGGTGCCCTCATCAAAATTGAAAGTAGGAGATATGATAATTGTAGAGAAGAACGAGCGAGTGCCAGCGGATTTAGTACTGCTGCGCACCAGCGACAAGAGTGGTTCTGTCTTTGTGCGCACCGATCAACTGGATGGTGAGTTTATAAATATGTAGATAGAAAAGTAAAAAGAAAAACATATTTTTATATAAAAATACTTCTTCTAATTATAGGTGAAACTGATTGGAAATTGCGCCTGGCAGTGCCGCTTACTCAGAAGTTGAACAAGGATTCAGATTTATTCCATATTGACGCAAGCGTTTACATTGAAAAGCCACAGAATGATATACACTCATTCATCGGCACATTCTCGATGGTGAGTAGAGATTTTGTGTGGCTTAAGAACTTATAGGTTTCGAAATTTATGTTGAAATTATATTTTGTTCGCCTTTCTCTAGCAGGATGGAGGCGAGGAAACTGGCCTTAATGTGGAGAATACGCTGTGGGCGAATACTGTCGTCGCTGCTGGCACAGCTACCGGCATTGTGATCTATACTGGCTGTGAAACGCGCAGCGTTATGAATAACTCGCAGCCGCGTTCGAAGGTTGGACTGCTCGATGTGGAGATTAACGGTCTAACTAAGGTATGACGTCATAGTAGAAGTGAAAAAAACATGGGGAAATTGAATTTTAATGAATTAAAAAATAAATAAAAATCAAAAACACTTTAAGTAAGTGTAAACTACACCATTCATTCATTTTTTTACTCCTTTCTAGGTGCTGTTCTGTGCCGTTCTCGGCCTCTCGCTCGTCATGATGATGCTCAAAGGTTTCAGTGGCCCTTGGTATCGCTATATGTTCCGCTTTGTGCTACTCTTCTCCTACATTATACCCATAAGTTTACGTGTTAATTTGGACATGGGCAAAGCATTCTATTCATGGCAAATGCAAAATGATCCTGAAATTCAAGGCACCGTAGTGCGTTCGACAACCATACCCGAAGAGCTGGGTCGTATATCGTATGTGCTCACTGACAAGACGGGCACGCTGACGCAAAATGAAATGGTCTTCAAGAAGATACATTTAGGCATAGTTTCACATGACAATGACACATTTCATCATATCGGTCAGATAATACAAACACTAGCACCTACGATACTGGCACAAAGTGCACCAGGAAATGGCGCCGGTGTTGGCGGTGGTAATAGCGGCGGAACTAGCGACCCGCAGACGCCTTTAGTTATAACAACAAAACCGATGTACTCGGGTAATCGAATGCGGCACCCGGAGGGTTGGCGCGAATGGGAGGCAGTAAAGGCGTTGGCATTGTGCCACAATGTGACCCCAATCACCGACGAGGATGACAACAAATCTGTGTCCACATCCTCGACATACACATCATCTGCAGGTGCGTGGGATGCAGTATATTTAAATGAATATAGATAAAATGGTAATAAATTGAACCTCCCCTTACCTTTCGTTTCGCTACAGGTGGTTCTACTTCGCCCACAAAATCTGTGATAAATGTAGAATCGAGCGCTACAGAGCACCAGTATCAAGCGTCCTCGCCAGATGAGATTGCGCTGGTTAAGTGGACCGCTGAGGTGGGTTTGACGTTGATTGGGCGCGATATTAACTCCATGACACTGCAAATGAAAACGAGAAAGTGTAAGTTTGAGATTATTTTACTGCCCTTTATTTAGATATTTTCAAAAAATTGTATTTAAGGTAAATTTTTTACATTCTATTTTATGATTAATAAAACATAAGTATATAAATATTTCCCACTTCATCTTCTCAGCCAAGGGTGAACCACAAGATGGCCTACTGCAATACCAAATTCTTCAGGTATTCCCCTTCACCAGCGAAAGCAAACGCATGGGTATTATTGTGCGCGCTTCCGGCTCCGGTGAAATTACATTCTATCTCAAAGGTGCCGACGTGGTCATGTCCTCCATTGTGCAGTACAACGACTGGCTGAGCGAAGAGTCTGGCAATATGGCGCGTGAGGGACTGCGGACTTTGGTTGTGGCCAAGAAAGTGCTCTCCGAAGAGCAATATAATGACTTCGAAACTCGCATTACCGCCGCACGCCTCAGCGTAAGTGATCGCGTAGCCAAAGTGGCCGCCGTGATTGAGTCTTTGGAGCGCGAGATGGAGTTACTCTGCTTAACAGGTGAATAAACCTGCATAAGTACTTTTCAAAATCACCCCTATAAATTCCTTTTTTTTTACATACAGGCGTTGAGGACCGGCTGCAGGAAGGCGTGCGTCCAACACTCGAACTGCTACGTAACGCTGGCGTGCGCGTATGGATGTTGACGGGTGACAAGCTCGAGACCGCCTGCTGTATTGCAAAATCCTCACAGCTAATCGGTCGCAATCAAGGCCTACATGTGCTGCGCTCGGTGACGACACGCACAGAGGCGCATGTGGAGCTAAATAACTTCCGTCGCAAACAGGGTCACGCACTGGTTATTTCGGGTGAATCTCTTGAGGTGTGTCTACAATACTATAGACCAGAATTCCTCGAGCTTGCCACCGCTAGTCCGGCAGTGGTGTGTTGTCGTTGCAGTCCAACGCAGAAGGCCCAAGTGGTGCAGCTGATACAACATCACACGGGCAAGCGTACGTGCGCAGTTGGCGATGGCGGTAACGATGTAAGCATGATACAACAGGCCGATGCTGGTGTAGGTATTGAAGGCCGTGAGGGGCGGCAAGCTTCACTCGCTGGCGATTTTAGCATACCACAATTTTCACATATTGCCAAACTATTGCTGGTGCATGGACGGCGTTCGTACAAGCGTTCGGCGGCGCTCTCACAATTTGTCATACATCGCGGTCTAATCATAACTACACTACAAGCTGTATTCTCCGCTGTCTTCTATCTCAGCTCAGTGGCGTTGTATCAAGGTTTTCTCATGGTTGGCTATTCGACGCTATACACAATGTTTCCCGTATTCTCGCTGGTGCTTGATCAGGATATAACTTCGACTACAGCAGTAACCTATCCGGAATTGTACAAAGATCTATCGAAAGGACGTAGTTTGAGCTACAAAACCTTCTTCATCTGGGTGCTAATCAGTATATATCAGGGCGGTGTGATAATGTATGGCGCGCTTATACTGTTCGAAGATGAATTCATACATATTGTGGCGATTAGCTTCTCGGCGCTCATTATGACTGAGTTGATAATGGTGGCGTTGACGGTGCGCACATGGCATCGGTAAGTACAAAGTGATAATTAACTGCGCAGCACGTCAGCATTGTTTTCAAATGTTTTATCGAAATTTCGCTTTTCAGTCTCATGGTGTTAGCTGAGCTCTTCAGCTTGGCCCTCTACTTGATATCGTTGGCTGTGTTGCACGAATATTTCGGTAAGTTATGACTACATTAAGATTATTGTTATTATTTTTATTTTTTTTTTTAATTTTCTATGTCTTTTTCTTTCTCCGTCACGCGCACAGATTGGGAGTTCATCTGGTCGTACGATTTCCTCTGGAAGGTCTCCATCATCACGCTTGTTTCTTGTTTACCATTGTATATTATAAAGTTCTTACGCAAGAAGTGCTCACCGCCATCATATTTGAAACTTTCATAAATCGTTGAGCACCAACATACTCCCTTTTTCATACTTTTCCCCAAGTACATATTTTTGTTCAGAGTTTTCTTTTTTTGTTATGTAACAATAAGTAAGCTAAGCGTTAAGTTGACACGTTTGCCTTTTAGGTTTTAGCGATATTTTATATACCATAAATATTATTAAATGCATTTGAAGAGTCAAAATATTATTTAAGGAAAACAAAGAATGTCTGGTTGAAAAGGTTAATTGAAAAGCTGGTATTCTGCTTAGCACATCTCAACCGATTTCTGATATTTTCCTGCTATATGTATTAATATATTCGGTTTTGTGACGAAGATTTTGACTTTTGGTTTTCAGCAGCAATTCATTTTGTTAATTAAAGTATATTTAAATAAATAAAAAATAAGCATTAGCACGTTAATTTTTGTATACAAATAATTTTTTTTATTATTATTATCGTCATGAATTATAGCTATTATTCTTGAGCACCCCGCTTCCCTCAAAAATTCAACGAAACTTTTATTACTGTTAAATACGTTGTATAATTATTTTAACAAAAAAAAAAATAATAACAAAAATTGTAAAAAACTTCCGAGTCGCTTATATTTCGCGAAAACCACTAGAAGGCCAAATGAGTGTACTCTTTATCTCTTTAAATTAAAATTTGAAAAAATTTCGCAGAATTTGTGAGTACAGATAAAACAGACTGTGTTGTTAGTTGGTAACGTATGTACGTCGTAGGTGACTTTTTAAAACTAAAAATAAATTATAATAAAAGTATTTAATATGACATTGGCATAATTGTGTAGAGACGAACGACGACTGGCTAATAAAGAGTGCGTCAACTATTTTCTAATCAATGTTAAAACAAGAAAATATTGATTTAGTAAAGGAACTAGGTTAGTTGCAGTGATTAAGAAAAGTAGAAAGAAAAATTAAAAAAAAAGATAGGGAAAAGTTGATATGAAACAATAAAACATTTGAGTACTTTTATTATAAGCACACACACTCGCGTATACAAACAAACAAAAAAAAAAAACGCTCAAAGAAGCGCTGGTGTGTGTTGCAAACTACTCTAAAACGAAAGTTGTTAAGCCAGTTTATAGATGTGTCGCATGGTCGTGGATGGGGTTCTTTAAGAATCAAAAGATAGTCGCAATTTTCAATATCAAAAAATTGATATACATATATGTACATGGACATAAATCCGTAAACTTGCATTTTTAATAAGTGATTTATGTACAAGTTTAATTTGTGACCGTAATCTTATTTGTGGAGTTAAAATAAAAAATATTCTATTGGACATTTGCTTTAAATAAAAGAAAAGAGGGATAATATAAAATTTTATAAAATAAATAACTAAAACTCTTATAAAAATCATTTTTTTCTTTAAATTTGAACAGGATTTTGAAGATAAATAAAAGAAGAAAAGTATTTAAGTTAATCTTATGAAATGCAAATCATGTCATAACATACAAAAATTAATGCATACATAAGTATGTATTCGTATCCATTGATATGCATTTTTTAACACAATCGTGCATAAAAATATTCAACCCTAATGACAAGTTATTAAAGTGCGAAAATAAAATAAGACACACCTTAAGATAAAACATACTAAAAAATCAAGCATTAGATTTTCTAAGATAGTTAATATATAAAAACAAAACTATTTTTAGTTGCTAAAATGAACAGTAATTGATATGAGTCAGAAACTATTTTCAAATATAGGTTAAAGTGAATAAAAAAAAAACCTAATAAATAAAAAATTTAAACAAACACTTTTTTTTATTTATAAACTACGTCTGGTTTTTATGAAGTTGTGTGTGCGTATCTTCTCTTGCCCGGCTCATTTCACCAAGCTGGTCAGATGTCAACGATGGTTGTTGTAATAGCATAAAAATTACCTAAAAAGTTTTTGGAGAATCAGCTGGAGTGAAAGTCTTTGGTTTGATATAGATCCGGGTCGTTCCGGTTACGTAGACCCGACTGTCGGTACAACGATGATGGTCAAACCTGGCACTGCAGAAGTTAAGTATAGAGCACCGCTGCCTGAGCTGTTGTTGTTGTTGTAGCGGCTACAACAACCCCGCCCAGATCGGTTGGTATCTCAGTCGTTGTCGTCAAGTTCCACTAACGGCAACCCTAGGAAGCATCTGTCCACAGGGACAAGGCCGTTAGGGTTGTCGGGTTTTCCGGGCATGCGAAGAGATGGTTCGAGTCATGTGGGGTCTCTCCGCATGCCGGACATTCGTTCGGCACATCCTCATTCAGCCTACTCAAGTAGGAGTTTAACCTGCTGCAGTAGCCGGAGCGAAGTTGAGCGAGTGTAGTGCGTGTCTCCCGAGGCAGATGAAGCTCTGTCTCGTCAATGTCCGGGGGTGGTATGCCTAGAACGGCATTCACAGGTCTAGAGTCTACATAACTCGAGACTGAGTCCCTGTGAATGCCGTTCAGGGCCTGTCTGTACGCTGTCGGGTCCCAGAGGTTGCTTAATGAACCTCTGGACTTCATCCGTCAGTTCATATAGATGCCTCCTGACGTGCCTAGGCGAGGGCTCCTCTGCAAGCAGCTGTCTGTTTGGGTGGCCACTTCTGTGGCTCCCGATCAGGAACTGCTTGCAGAGCATTATGTTGTGCTCCTTAACTGGGAGCATTTGCGCCTCGCCGTGCAAGTGGTGTTCTGGCGACATCAGGAGGCATCCCGTCGCTGTCCTAAGTGCCGTATTTTGTACCGTCTGTAGCTTCGTCCACTGCGTCCTACTAGTCCCTGGCGACCACACTGGCGCTGCGTAGTTCAAAACCGGCCGGCCTATTGCCTTGTATGTTGCCAGCAACGTTTCTTTGTCTTTGCCCCAAGTACTGCCGGCTAGCGACTTGAGGACCTTGTTGCGGCTCTGTACTTTATTGACAATAGCGGTTGAGTGCGCAGAGAAGGAGAGCAGGCTGTCGAATGTTACTCCGAGTATTTTGGGGTTATTCACCGTCGGAATTGGTGTGTCATCGACGTGAATCCCCAGCGGTAGCCTGACCTCCTTCGTCCAGGTTGTGAACAGGCTCGCGGAGGACTTCGTAGGGGAGAGGGCTAGACACTTTGCAGTGAAGAAGCGAGAAAGTTCGGAGAGATAGCCGTTTACTTTCAAACACAGGTCATCATTTCCATTCCCAGTCACCATGATCAAGCAGTCGTCGGCATAGGAGACAATCGAGACTCTCTCTGGTGGTTGAGGGAGCTTTGAAATATAAAAGTTAAACAGTAGCGGGGAAAGGACACCACCCTGAGGAACCCCCTGTTTTATTTTTCGCTGCTTACTCGTTTTGTCTCTAAATGTTACCGACGAATGTCGACCACTCAGATAATTTGCCGACCACCGTTTGAGCCTCTGTGGGAGAGAGGAGGCCTCTATATCTTCTAGCAGCGTGGAATGGCAGACGGTGTCAAACGCCTTTGACAAGTCCAACGCTACTAGAATCGTTCTCTCACAGGGACGGTTGCGGTTAAGGCCACGAGTTATCTGAGTGTTTATGGCGTAAAGTGCTGTTGTTGTACTGTGCACTTTACGGAAACCATGCTGATGCTTCGCTGGGGTCAGGTGGTTTGTGAAGTACGGGAGTAGCAAGGCCTCGAGTGTCTTCGCTACCGGTGAAAGGAGTGTAATCGGACGATACGAATCTCCTTTGTTGGCGGGTTTCCCCGGTTTGAGCAGTGGGACCACTCTCCCCACCTTCCAGATGTCTGGGATGATGAGAGTGGCCATTGACAGGTTGAGGACCTCCGTTAGGTACGCTACCCCCGCAGGACCCAAATTTTTCAGCATCAGCATGCATATTCCGTCGGGACCCATGGCTTTGGAGGCTTTCGCCTTCCCGATGGCCACCTGAACTTCACCGCAAGTGAAAGCAAGGGGGGCACAATTTGTTGGCAGTTTGTGCAGCCTTCTGGTCACTCGACGCTTGGCTTTGTCTACCGGAGGATGCAGTATGAACTGCCGGCTAAAATAGCTCGCGCATCGCTCCGGGTCCGACGAAGCATGGTCCCCGAAGGAAATTTCGACTCTGTCGTCGTGCTTCGTCGGATTAGACAATGACCTCACGGTTGACCAAAGCTTGCTCACACCAGAGGTGAAATTACAAGTCTTCAGGTGCTCCTCCCACTTCTTCCGCTTATGTACGTTTACAAGTTGCCGAATCTCCGCGTTGAGATCCCTGATACGGGGATCTCCGGGATCGGCCTGACGAATGCTATCACGCTCATCAGCTAGAACAGCCGCTTCGGCAGGGAAGTTTGGACGTGGGTCCGATATACGTCCTGCCGGTATGAAGCGAGCTGCAGCAGCAGTGATAGTCCTGCGGAACTTACGTTCACCGAGATGGACGTCGGTTGGTGTGGGGAGCGCTGCGAAGGTGTTTTCAGTAAACCCCGCGTAACCTTTCCAATCAGCTTTGGAAAAGTTGATATAGGTCCGGTGTTTGGCGGAGGCAAAGTCGGTTGGTTTATCAATCGAGATGACTATGGGTAGATGGTCTGATGTTAGAGTCAGCATAGGTCGCCACGTTATGCTGTTTATCAGACCAGCGCTGACTATTGTGATGTCTAGCGAGCTACTGCAGTTACCCATAATCCTGGTGGGTGCGTCGTCGTTCATTGTGCAGAATGTCAAATCGTCTATCTGCTCAGCCAAGCCTGTTCCCCTACGATCGTTTGACAGGCTTGAGTGCCAAAGATCGTGGTGCGCATTAAAGTCACCTACTACCATACGGTTTTCACCTCTGAGGAGCGCACCTATATCAGGGTGATATCCTGCCGGGCAGCAGGTGACAGGGGGTATGTATATGTTAAATATTTCGAGCTCGACATCGCCTGACCGGATAGCGATGCCCTGACATTCTAGGGTGGTATCCCTGCGGTCGATGTCTGCTTCGATAAGACGATACTGCACGGTGTGGTGCGTGATGAACGCTAAGCCACCACCATTATCTCGCTCGCGATCTCGACGGTGCACGTTGCACCCGGCGCAATTCAACAAAGTTGAATTGCTGTGCAGCTTCGTCTCTTGGACCGCAGCTATTAATATACCATGCCGACACATGAAGACGGTTATCTCCTCAATCTTGCTCTGTAGCCCGTTACAGTTGAATTGGAGGAGCTTCATGTGGTTCGGGAGACGTGTCGTGATGTGGGGTGTGAGTGAGGTGTATGTTCTTGCCGCCGTTGGCTGTGTGTGCTGCTGAGGTGATTGCCGCCCTGTGGTGGTGGTGGGGGGCGTCGCAATTGACGTCTGCGACCGAGCAGCGCAACACGGGCCCTCGAAATTCCCCGTCCAATCTCGCGTGGTACGCAGACCTGAACATGCCCTAAAGTGGCACCAGCCAAGGCAGGTGTTGCACTTGACTGATGTCACATTACGGAATATTCTGGTCTGACATACCGTGCAGATTGTAGGGGGAACCAGGAGTTGTTGGCGGCGGCGTGTGGGTGGTGGTGCAGTTGTGTGTGTTATGTGGTCTGTGGTGGCTATGGTACGGTCTGTGGTGTTATTATGTTGTTGTGTAGTGGCGACTGTGTGTGGTTGCTGTGTGAGTGTGTGGGGCTGCACGGGCGGACTATCGTTTGCCGTGGAGGCTGCTCTGTTTGAGCAACAGGGGGCCACGTAAGACGTGGTCCACTGTCTGTGTGTCCGTAGTCCCGAGCAGACCCTGAGGTGACTCCACCCCTCGCAGGCATTACACTTGACTGAGGTGGAGTTGTGGTGTAATCGTCTTCGGCATACACAGCCTGAGCTGTTTTTGGTTTCTTGTGGGAGTTGCCGAGCGGCTAAGGTTTCTATTGCTCTAAGGTTTGCCAGATCTCTGCATCCATCGACTATAACCAACGTGCCACTGCGTGGCTTTGCTTTAACAATGTCTCGTCAAATTGTAGTTAAGTTGGCTGTCTTCAACCTCCAACAGCCCCACACTAAGAGTATGGACAAAATCTGTTATGTTCTTTGAAAGAGAGGAACGCGACCTCCCACGATAGCCGCTTCTTCTACGTACCGGAATGACTCGAGTTTTACCCGACCAAGGGGGGCGATCTAACCCCGTTTAGGTCTGCGAAATGCAATGCATCAAACGCTGTTCAATTATGGGGCTACATCTGATCCGAACTCTTCTGCTCAGGGCTGGCATAGAGTCAAACCCAGGGCCAGAAATATACACCTGTTGCGTATGCCAGAGACGATTACATGCAAACTCCACCTCGGTCAGGTGCAACACATGCGACGGGTGGAGTCACCTACGCAACTTCTCGGGCTTTAGAACGCACCGGCAGTGGACCACTTCGTTCGTGCCCCATGCTGCGCGAACCGGACCGCCTCCACGGCAAACCGCCACTCGCCCGAGCAGCATGACACTAACACACCTACACCCCAA